ATACAAATAAGATATTCATGAAACCTTTTGTTTTTCTTCTTTGATCTCTTGATTCCTGACTCTTGATCATCAAATAATGTGTTCAATAAGAGGAAAGAAGAAAAGTCACAATATTTGATTTAGTTGTTATTAAGCAGTTGTAGACATGAAGGTCTGATGCAGGGTAGAAATTAAAGCTCTTTCCTAAAATAGGGACAATAGTTTAAGTATTGTTTTCAGTTTTAAGTATACTATAATTGTCCCTTCTGCAAATGCTTCTATATAGGGCAAGCACATGGTAATTATGAATAATATAATTATATATCATTATCTAAATTGTATATGCTTCAGCCCTGTTCCAGAAAAATGGATTCCTCATGGATCTTATTCATCACATCCAGGAATTAATCATTGCACATTCACCCTAATCAATAGTGTATTGATGATTAATAATGCTTATCAGCAATCAGTTTGCAGAAAAACAACATATACAGAATGCAACTCATATAGGGGATGAAAAGCAGGAAGACATGGGTAATTGTGTCAGGAAGGGAAACTTGACATTGAAGGTCAAAGATATTTCCTTTCAGCAAAGAACCACACACGGAGTCTTTATAGATATTTGAGGCAGGGAAGGAAGCATTGTTAAAACATGAAAAGGGAACTTTTTTGTCACTTGGATGAGCAGGAGAAAAAGCAAGAAGTGGGAATTACTCTGCACCAGTGATTGGAACACTAAGTTCAAGAATAAAATCAATGCAAGAGAATCCAAACAAAGAATTACAATAGGCACACTTAGGGAATGAAATTGGATTTCTGAACTGGGTTTTGAGACCCCGCTATAAGCTATATGCTACACTAAGAGATAAATGCTACCAATTCTGTACATTTTCAGAGAGCCCTGTGCACTCCGGACAATGTACCAAATTGACTCACAACGTGACCCCCATAAAGGGAAAGTTGCCTTTAGAAAAAAAGCTTTCTGAAAATCCTGTAGAATGTAGTGAAGATAACTACTTCCTTTCAAACAGGTCAGGAGGATAGTTGAAACTGTACATTGTTTAGAGGCATGAACAAGGGGCCTGAAAACTGACTTAATTCAAACCCCTAACACAGTAGAGCTTGCCATTCAACCAAAGCCTTATGCAAATTGTTTTCAGCTCTCAGATAGATGCTGTAAGCCTAATACAGCAGCTTATTTCATGGCTCTCATTTAACCCATCAATCCACGAAGCCAGCCTTTGGCTTGCAAAATAAGAAGGAATGACCAGAGTACAAAAACTAGACTAGAGGTGTGACGGGGAGAAAGGGGAGAATGCAATGCCAAGAGGTGTACCTAAATATACACCAGAGGATGCCTCCTATGTGCATTCATTGCTGATAGTTTTTGTCCCATTGCAGAGATATGATTACCTGGATCTCAGCCAGTGTAACAGCAGGTGTTACTACTGACCATAAAGATATGCCATTCATTTTTAAAGCTAGTGCCAGTGTTTGGTGTTATGGTCTCCCTTGGCAATAACCTCAAGACACTAGTACTAGGATCTGAAGAAGCATTTCTTTTTATGTGTTATAGCACTGGGGCAACATCTAGTTTGCCATCAAGACTGCTTAGAGGAAAAAGCTGGAACCTTTTCTTGTCCACATATCATTCCCCACCATTGATTTAACTTCCAGCGCCATCAAGTGATAAAATGTACTTTTGTTATAATATCCATTCTATCTGAATGGTAGCCAAAAAATATGTTTTGGCCAATTATATTGGTTTCTCACATTTAAGCTGATTTCTTAACATGCTTTTTATGAAATTCTGTCTATCCTGCTATAGAGCTATTTTCATTAATATTGAAAGATATGCAAGTTAGTGGGACAGGGAGATGGAGAAATTGTGTTATCCCTATGTTCATATGTGGGCATATGAATATGATTGTATACATTTTGTTCTGTGAGAACTACCCACTAACCAACTCCCTGCTTACAATGTTGACCTTCTCCAAGTCATTCTCCCCAATTATAAAAGAAATAAAATGATCTCCCTATAATGCACATCTGACCATGGCACTTCTAAGTTTAAAACATCCCCACAATTCACCAAAAGTCTACTGAGCAATGTCCAAACAAACTAGCATGCTTCATAACGTCTTTATAAATAGACTCCCTGCCTTCATAGGCTCATTTCTCATCATTTCTCACCTTGCATTAGAGTCTCGTGGCAAACTTATAATTTAGTCTTTATTTCATGTTTTTACCCAGACTGTGACTCTTTGCTTGGTGGCCTTATCCTTTGTGAGCTCAAGCAGTCTTGCCTTCAGGAATCTTCTGCTGACTCTTTATATGCAGTTGGGATAAGTTCTTTATCTCCATATTTCTTTCTTCAAACTTCTATGCAAATCTTTATCCTCAAACCTAAGGTGCTTTATGGAAATCCATTAATGCGTTCCTACTAAACTGTCAACTTCTAGGTGCTGTATTCTCAGCATACTTCCCTGCACAGAGAAGATACTCAATAAATGGATATTTTCCAAATGAATTAATAGTGAAAACATAATTGAACTGAATTCTGTAGTCTTTTCTCCCCAACCAGATAGTAATATGTTTTACATTAAAATCTGAGTATAACAACTGTGTTTTATGATTTATATAGTGCAGCTTGCAGACCATAGGTGCTTAATGAATGACTTTCAATTTCATGAAACCCCTCTGTGGTATTTTGCCTAAGATACTAGAATTCCAGAGCTAAAGCTCGTTTTATGCAAAATCTTCACTTGACATGCATTCCTCTGTGGCCTAAAAAAAGGACAAAATGACTCAACCAAAGCCACAAAACTTGATAGTGGCTTAAAGACTAAACGTTCTTTTGACTCCCAGTCAAGGATATTTTCACCATTTTTAGATGGGATTATGAGTTAAGAAATTGTGGGTTAAAAGAGAGGAAGGAGTGACAGAAGACAGAAAAGTAAAATACACAAATTAATAAAATTTTGTTTTGGAACAAATCAGAGCGAGAAAAAAAAAGTGTCTAAGGGCTATGTCATTTTGTCAGATACTAATGAGAATACAATTTAGTAAAATAATTGGGTTTGACTGACAAGCTTCCAGTATTGAGTGTTACCAACTCAGCTGGAGAGGGCTGTCTGACTTACTTAGTCCACCAATGTAAATGCTAATCTCTTTTGGAAACACCCCCACATGCACACCCAGAAATAATACTTAGCTAGATATTTGGACATCCTGTAGCCTAGTCAAGTTGACACATAAAATTAACCATCACAACCTCCAACGTAAAGTCAAGGTTTAGGCTAACTTGTAGGTAGCAAAATCCATTATGCACTTTATGTGCTGGTGAAATTGCATAAATATGAACATTTACTTGGGGACCATAAGTCTGGTCATAATTTGCAAAATGAAATACAGCACAGACAAGTGAAGGCTAAACCTGCGAGATAATAAAAGCCAAACTCTAGAATTATGAAAGTGGGAAAAGTGAGAGGCAGTTATAAAAACAATAAATGTTAAAAATTAAAACGCTTCAGGTTAATTTTATTTCTGAGTAGCTTGCCTGAAGTCACACTGCAGAGATTCAGCCCCAGAGGTCTGGAAAATTCAATGTTCTTTTCCACTGCTTTGCTCTGCCTCTTGGCCAAATGGGTAAATACATTCAACAGATATACATGGCACAAATAACTGCAAACACAGTATAATTCTTCAGGATCTTTTCATTTTATGCATGTCTAATGAATTTGGTAAAGTCAAGAGGGAGAAAAACAGCTAAATGGATACAAAGATCTGAGTTTTCCTTTAACCCCATTTGTAAGTGAAACTCAAGTAAACAAGGTGGCAAAATCACCTAATGATTGAAGCTAAAGACCACCCCCACCAAGGGCCACTGCTTTTTATTTAATGAAACCACAAGAGACATCCAATGTGAGTTATGTGTAGGGCAGACTATTGTGAATTTTTTTATTTGAAATGATGTTGATGTGTCAGATAGGCAGAAGAACGGCTCCCACAAAAGATATTTGTGTCCTCATCACTGGAACCTATAAATGTTACCTTATATAGCAAAAAGGCCTTTGCATAGGTGATTCAGTTAAGGAATTTAAGATGGGGAGATTATCGAGTTGAACGCTAAATACAATCCCAACTGTTGTTACAAGAGAGAAGCAGAAGGAGATTTTTTTTTGTTATTTGGAGATGGAGTCTTGCTCTCTTGCCCAGGCTGGCATGCAATGGCACAATCTTGGCTCACTGCAACCTCCGCTTCGCAGAGGGAGCTTTGATGCAGACAGAAGGGGAGGAGGAAATGTGACCACAGAGGCAGAGATTGGAGTGATGCAACCACAAGAGAAGGAGGAATGCCAGAAGCCACCAGAAGCAGAAAGAGACAAAGAATAGGGCCTCCAGAAAGAGCATGGTCCTGCTGACACTTTAATTCCACTCATTAATACTGATTTTGGATTTCAGGCCTCCATAACCTTGAGAAAATAAATTTCTGTTGTTTTGAGTCCCCACATTTGTGCTTATTTGCTGCAGCAGCCACAGGAAATTAGAATGCCAAATGACGCAAACAAGCTAAGTCATAAACAGCCTAAAAACCATGCAATACATCATTGGACTATATCCTTTTCACAGAGGAACAATAAACAGGGCCTCACTTCCACTAAGCCATATCTCAAAGAAAATTTGGATTGACCTCGGAAAACAGAATATTGTGATTTCTCAGGCTTTGTGTATTCCATGTGCATACTGTGGTACAGCAATTCTCTCTATACTGTCCATTTAGGTAGTTATGATTACAGGTTTGACTGGGTTAGGTTGTTAGAATTGACAGAATGAATGAGTGCTAATAAAATGACGATGTGTTCTGCTATCCTGTCACTGAACCGATGCAATGGTTTATAACAGCATGATGAAACAAAGTAATTGGATACTGTAATGAATTTGAAGTATTATAATTTTGATGGTCTCAGGAATTATGATAAGTGTTAAACAGTAACAGTCACATTCCTTCTTGTCCACAGGCTCGGTGGGATGGCTTGACTGGGCGTATCACCTTCAATAAAACCAATGGCTTGAGGAAGGATTTTGATCTGGACATTATTAGTCTCAAAGAGGAAGGAACTGAAAAGGTAACCTCCTTAATAATATAAATAAATAAAATAACAAATGAACATTGCTCAAGCATTTTTATTAAATTGCACAGACAAGTAGGTAAATGATGAAGTGATTCTCTTGGCATGTTATTTTGCATCCAGTTTGTTTATCTTTCTTTTACCTGTAGATAGATGTTGATGTGCTAGATTCTTAAATTTCATGTGTTAGTAATAGCAATGCTAATTAGTGTTTATATAGTGCTTCATTTATATAGCAAGTGTGTTTATATTATTATATATATAACCCTATAGTTGGGTGTTATTAAGCCCATGTCTTAAAGGTTTTAACAAATTGAGTTTAGACTTGGAAATGCAGAAGCTGTCAATGGTTTATCGATGGAATGGCATCCAACAGTTACCCAGAAATTATTTTAATTGCACATTTTATTTTATTTTGAGATTGGTGACAGACAGAATAAATAGGTTAGAAGAGAATTATTAGAGCAAATTAACATTGCATTCTTAATTTTAGGACAAATGCCAAAAAACTGTATTTTAACGTTGGGTTGTCACTTTAGGAATATTTTAGTTGTAGTTCTGAATCTGTCCATGTTTAAAGTTCTACTTTAGTTACTATTTAGAGTAACAATTGTAAACTATTTGGTTAAATAACAATGATAAAATAATTTGGCTTCTCAGCATATTTTATTAAACCAGTTTTAGTATTCATGATTATACGTTGGAATTAACAGAGTTTGAAGATTTTGCACTGAAAATGTTACAGAAAAACAACTGAAACCCCCAAAACAATCACCTAAACAGAAAACTCTGTAATCTGACATTTTTTCCCACTATAGTGAATAAGATAGTGTGCTGAATATAACAGTGGCTTTGGGAACAATCGATTGCTTGCTTAATTAGAAATAGTTGGGTTGATTTTTTTAAATGAGGTAAGGTTTTCACTTCTGTTCTCTTGCTTTTGTTAACTGGGACACATTTTTTTTTGCAGGTGCTAACTACCCCTCCCCCCAAAAAAAACATTAATGGAAACAAAGATCATTTAGGCTAAATGTAATAGAAGGTGATCACTGGTGTGAACTATTTGAGGAAAATAATTCATTTGCAGCTTTGAGAGTACACATTATATATGCAGGTTTCTCCGTTCAAAAATGCCTCTCCCATCCTCTGGCTTTCTCTCCACTCTGATTTGTCCCTCTGTTGGTCTGACATGCTCTGATAGAGCACAAGGCATCCAGCCAGCCTCCACAATGGTGTGTGGGATGTTGGCTGGAGGGAACAACAACAAAAAAAAAATGCTTGTTATTATTTGAAAGCCTATAGTATTTTTTAAGAAAATGTCTGCTTCTTGAAGCATGAGTCTTTCCCTGACTCTCTTCTCCTCTTTATGTATAGCATTGAAGAGGGGAGAAAAGCTGTTAAGGAAACATCTTTTTGGCTAGGTGAATGATGAACTAGATGAAGCTATTGTTATGCTTTCACAGCTATCTATACACTGTAATACTATGCACATTGCGTTGGTGTTTTTCCATCAAAGGCAAAATTGAATTAGATGAAAGTGTTTTGTGTTTGTTTCTTATCTCCTCATTGTTTGCAATAACTTTTCTTTCTTTAGGTGTCTGAGGCTCAATTCCCGAGAAGGCTGATTGAGCCTTAAGGCAATGGGGAGAAACCAACATACCTCTCTCAGGAGCAGAGGGAGGAAATGCCCAATCAGCCTCTCTTGGGGTCAATAGGAATAACTATTAGAAAAATCCCATTCTCACTTTCACTCAAATTTCCACTGCCTTGAAGCTCATAATCAAAGAATAAGTCATGAAGCATTCTTTTTTTTTGGTTAGGAAGTGTGTGTGTGTGTGTGTGTGTGTGTGTACTGATTGATTTGTTGGTTGACTGATTGATTGATTTTTGTTACCAATCCCTTAAAAGGGTCTTCTTAAGGAACAATGAAGCCCCTTAATACTGCAGCATACATGTATACACTGAAAAGCACATTAAGTCATTTTTTTGGTGTGTGAAAGGAAAAGGAAAAATGGAGTCTTACCACCAGGTAACTTCTGTGAGACCCAAGTCTTGATTCATCTCTTTGTTGTACCTATTGTCAGGCTTTATATTGAATTAAGATGCAAAATTCCAAAAAATGGGTGGGAACTTAACACTCTAAGCACTCACACACCACGATTCCATCTGGGTTTCACGCTCTATTTTAATTAAGTGCTATTTTTATTTTATTTTTCTCTCTGAAAACCAAGGCTGCTGGCGAAGTGTCTAAACACTTGTATAAAGTGTGGAAGAAGGTTTGTACTCTGACAACAACTGCAGGAAACCTGGGGGTGGGATGGGGAATGTCACTGGAAAAGCCTGCGTCCTTCTAATATTGCTGGACCTGTAGCTCTCCAATTGCAGTTTAGAGGGGATGTTGCATGTAAAGAGAGAGCAAGAGTGATTAAAATGTTCTCTCTCAACATCACCTGTGAATTGAAAACAGGTTTGCAATGGATTAAATAATGGTGGATTAAATATTTCCCCCAAGATTGTTTTTGTTTCTCTCAGGCAGGATCAGTCCCTGTTAGAATTGAAAGCAGGTAACTGTAACAGAAGGAATTTACATTCCTTCTGAAATCACTAAGTATTTTCCCTAAGTGGGAGAAAAACAACAATAGATTTGATCCATTAGACTAATCAGAGGGGCTATGGCTTCAGAAGGCTAGGACATGTCCTTCAACGTCACTACCACAAAGTATGAACCATTTTCAGAAATTTCCTTTTCTTATGAGCTATCTTTTGTTTTGTATGATATCTTCATCAGAGTAAACTGTATTGCAATTTGTTTTAGAGCCACAGTTGTAAAGAGGACACAAACATTAGGGACCTTGGAAAGAAAATGAGATTATCTTGTGAATTATAACACCCACTATTTTATAGTTTATTATACAGTGCCATGTTGCCAATGAGTGTGCATAGATTTATATAAGCAAATATTAGACATTAAAAACATTTGGATCAGAGAAAGGTCCCAGTGATAAGCAAACATTTTCTTTCATCTCCCCTCTCTTTCTCTTCCTCCTCTCCTTCCTTTTCTCTCTGTCTCTCTCTCTAAAACTACTTGCTAAAAAACCTGTGGACTGATGATGGACCTTAAATTGCTTCAGGTTGTTCAACTTGAACAGCTTTGTCGGGTTCACTTTCATCTTTCAAATTATCAGCTACGTCACAGAAAGTGTACACAAGTTTCCTCCCTATAGCCAAATGCCTTGTCTCCCTCTTAGTAATACTCAGTGATGAATTCAAAAATTTTTTCTTTTTAAGTTTTCAAAACACAGGTTTAAAAACCTTGTTTTGATCTTCAGTGAACACGGCTACTAAAGGCACACAGAAGGTGATCAGTAAATGGATGAGCCTAACTGGCACCCAGAAAAGAAAAAATAAAATCTATTACACTAATCCATCTTGAGACTCTGGGCACTTTGAATTAATCTAATACAAATATCCTAGGGAATGGAATCCAAGCTTTCAAATTACATGCAGGGGAGAAGAGGTGTCCTCTATTTGTCACTAAACTGCAATAACCACACCCACTTCCCAGGGATGTAACTTTCTGGTCTTTATCCTCTCTGCCTTCCCGCCTCTTCCTTCCTGGTAGCCCATCATGTTCCACATTGTAAGTTGCATATACCGTGGTGTGCTGTTTTGTGTTGACTGTTCATCAAAAATTCACGGTAACCTGATTTTTAGCACAAGTGACCCATTCAGACCCAAGGAGAACATTGCACTTTTTCCAGAAGTCTCCAACTTAAACAAAAATCCACCTTCGTCATATTTAAATTCCAAAAGCTTTCCTCAGTACTCTTATTTTAGAATAATATTATTCACCTGAAATTCTTTCCAAACGAGGGAGAAAGCAATCTTTACAACATTCCTCACTAAAATATTTGTTATATAAGACTCATAACACAGGAAACACATATACCTTTATCTTTTCCCTAGATACCTGATTATTTCCCTCAGCCATTTTAGATGTAGAGTTTACATGAATCACTGCCTAGGGTTGGAAGGTAGATACTATTCTCTGAACGCCCTTTTTATTGCATTGCTTTTTTAAAAAAAGTTTGCTTAATGTCATTTGGGCACTCATTTTCAAATAATTTTCTCAGTTGTCCTAGATGACAAATGGCCATTCCCTTGTGCCAGCTTACAAAGTGAAAGAAATCAGGGCCAGATCATTTAGACATTAAGCGCTCCTCCCCACCAGTAACTGATCCACACTCCACTACTTCTCACTGGCAAATGACTGCTGTCTGCTTTCACTACAAAGTTTGAAAATTGAGGTTCCGCTCCCTGGAGGCAGTCCTCCTAGGTCGCAGAACGGACTGAAATGTCAAATGTCCAGGCACATTCTTAACTGCACCTCTCTCTCCAGCACACGTGAATCATGAGGCCTGACTTCTTTAAAGAAAGACATTCTTTTCCTGACAACATATTTATTTACTTCAAGTAACAGATAAAGCCACTTGACTACTTGGGTTTAAAAGACACAGGTGCACATATGTGCTCATGCACGCACGCACACACACACACATGCACACACTTCTGTTTTGCTGATTACAAGTTTGGAAACAGAATATTGAGGTCATTCAAATTGCATATATGTACTGAACATTTCCCAGGATTAGCCTGACCTTTGCTGTATTTTGATACTCTTCTAGTCTGCATTTTAAGGATTTTCTGTGGGTTCCTCTGTAGAGATAATAAGGGAAAAATTGGTCACCCTTTTCTCATTTTAAGGAGAAAAGTTTAAACTGAATAGGACTTGGGACTTAGTTGATTGGATCAGAAGCAGCAATGATCTCTTAGCTTCAGCACTTTTAGTGCAGATGGCAAAAGAAAGAAAAACCAGACATCAGGCTGTGGTGTCTATTTGTCCTCAAGTTCAAATTTTAGTTTACAAGACAGTGATATTGCTAGGCTGTTGAACACAGTCATTTTCAAATATTAGTGTAGTTCCTTCCAACACACACATACATGACGTTAATAGAAATAAGATTTAGAGAATACACCTTTTTACATAACCAAGTGGCTAAAAACAGTCATTTTCTCCACCTTTCAATACTTACTTAATTAAAACTTAGATCCCATTCTCCTCAGTGTCTACGTGAAGCTTTAATTAGAAGTACAGTCAGGGCCCAATTTACACACAGTTTTCATGAAGCTAGGAGTCAATTGTTCACAACCTAAAGCATAGCCTTGGATGAAAATCAATAGACAGGTGTATTTAGCCTTAGTTACATTTCCTAGAAGCAAGAGTCCCTGCCTCAGAAGAAGGGGTGGAGGTTGAGAAGAAAAAGAAGAAAATGTTGTCCACTTTTCCCCACTCTAAAGCCAGACAGAGAAAGCTGAAGATTATTCCACCAATAGACATATAATGTGCGTTCTCAATGATACTCATCACACTAGATCCAGGAAATGTTGAATGGTTATTAACAGTACAGCCTACAACCCAACAAACACCTCTTTTCAGGCAGGATCACAGTATTTTCAAATGCAGAATCTATCCCATTCCCCCATATACCTACACCTGTCTCTCTATTTCTCCAATCAACTAACCCTAATTAAGTATAAGAAAAAAAACCGAAATGGAAATAGTTTACACTGATGTGTGAATGTGTAATATTCCTTGAAAATTCCTCAAAGCATTGATGTCTATAAAAAAGACACTTGTCCAGCTAAATAAATTTCTAGCTGCTAAATATAGGCAGTAAATCAGAGTCAAGAAATAGAAAAGCAAAGGGGGATGGAGCCTAACGCTCCCGCCTGTCTTCCCATTGGAGGAATATATTTAGGAACCAAGCATACATCCACCCTGTCCATCTCAGGGCATGTCCAGGTGTTCATGTTCCTAAACTGCCCCCTTTTTCAGATTTCTTTTACTTTATCGGATTCTGAATTTTTTTAAAAAATTATGAATGAGTCCAAATTCCTTCACGACAGGTAAGGTTGAAGAAAATACGGAGACAGTCTTTTGAATGCCCTCTATTGTTAACATGTGCACAGCTCTTAACACACACCAACACTTCCACATACATCATCTGATTATTTGATCTTCTCGTTATTCCTATGAAATACTTTATAGGTAAAGAATCGACTGAAGCTCAGAAAAATTAGAATCTCATCCAAGGACACACCGCAACAAGGTCTTCCTCGCTCTAAAACATACTTGCAGGCCACTACATGAGGCTGTCATTAAATGCCTGTAGAAAGATTCAGAAAAATAGCTCAAAATCCCTAAGTCTCCTCTTCCGGGTTCCCTCAGAGGCTGAAGAAATCAATATAGTTCTACACGGCCTCATAACCCAGGAGTGAGTTGGCCACTGGAGAAAACTGTGGATCATTATTTTTAAAAAGAGTAATGGGCTTTACTGAATGCCAATTGCCATGGTTGGTTTTGTGACAGAAAAATCAGTGAGCAGTAAAAGTGAGTGTGCTCACTGAAGGAGTTCATGATCAAGTGGGCAGACAAGACAGGTAAACAGATAAATAATAACAGAAGAGGCTAGCTGCTGTGACAGAGATGTGAACAGAGTCCTGCTAGAGTTCCCGAGGTGCACTGTTTGCCCAGCTTTGGTTCCTCAAAGGAGACAGGCCCTGAGCTTAGTCTACTTCTCATCCACATGACATGTTTTCTTCCACTTGCCTTTCTCTTTTTGTAGAAAAAAAAAAATCTTTGTTTTTTCAATGTCTTGCTTTGTCATCCAGGCTGGAGTGCAATGGTGCAATCACCGCTCACTGCAGTCTTGACTTCCTGGACCCAAGCGATCCTCACATCTCAGCCTCCTGAGTAGCTGAGGCTGCAGGCATGCACCATCATGCCTGGCTAATTTTTTTAAATTTTTTATAGAGATAGAGTCCCACTATGTTGCCAAGGTGATTTTGAACACCTGGTCTCAAGAGATCCTCCCACCCTGGCCTTCCAAAGCACTGGGATTACAGGCATGAGCCACAGCACCCCACTATCTTTCCCTTTCAGATGCCTGGTCTCTCCACCATTTATCCTGCTCCTTCACCCCATTATTCATAAATTTTAAATTAATTAGTGATATCACTTTAGCAGCCTAAGGTTTATGTTAGTAGAATATAAGATCCACAAGGGAAGAAACTCTTGTGTATTCTATTCATTGTTAAGTCCTCAGGTGCCTGGAACAGTTCCCAGCACATAAGTAGATCCTCAACAAATATATATAGGAAGAAAAATCTGATATCCATTTAAGAATTCTTAAACATTTTTAATTTAAAAGAGAACAATGAGCTTACTAAATTTAAAACAAAAAGACCTCCACCTACCCTGCCCCCAGTAGCACAGATATATCCTCTTTTGTCTACATATTCATTTCTCCATTATTTCATTTTCACACATTTAGTAGCTTCCACTGTGATGCCCTGGTATCCCAAACTGTGAGCTTTTGCCCATGCCTGATAGAGAAAGGGCCTCTCTTTGGTGTAAATGTCACACTGACAGCCAGCAGCCTCTGATGTACTGTGTTCTGTGTAGATTGGGATTTGGAATTCCAACAGTGGGCTTAACATGACGGATAGCAACAAAGACAAGTCCAGCAATATCACCGATTCACTGGCCAACCGAACACTCATTGTCACCACCATTCTGGTAAGTTGACTTCATGGAATTGAGGATGTCTTATCCAGACTCCTGCCTTAGACTTTGAAGCATTCCTCAACTGTCTTTTTCATGCCAAAGCTTCTGTCTGCAAATGCCTATTTTTAATGGAGACACTAAAAGCCTGTGTTTGTATGTACTTACAATAAGATTGAATTACAAGCTTCTAACATCGTTCTGAAGATCTCCCACCTCCAGTCATTGCCAGTCCTGCTCAGCCCCACCTCCGTTGCCTCCCAGCTTGTCTCCCTTACTTTCTGACTGCTGGTTGGTTTCAGCCATGTGGAGACCCTAGCAAGAGACTAGAGAAGTGGAAAAAGAGAGGTAATAGAAGCTCTTCTCCCGTTCCATCCCATCCACTACTAGAAGTTTTTGCAGAACCTCCGACTTTCTACAATCATAGCTTCTGCTTGTCAATGGCGCTGTTTCTAGGGTCCAGCTGCACTGATCTTCAGGAGTACTCTTTCCTCCCTCCTGCCTCAGCCCTGGGTGGTACAGGTTTCCCCGTGAGGCTGTTGCCTGTGTGTCTATGACTTGCTGCCAAATCGGACTCCACCTCCCTTGGCTCCTTTTGCTCTGCTCACAGTTCTGTACACAGCTCCTTTACTAACTGCTCTTAAAAAATCCTGCTCCCTGTTAGAGCCCCAGTCACGCCCCCATCCAGCCACTGTACAGCTACCAGTTTATTTTCCGTGTTTTCCTTTCACCAGGGAGTTAGTTGAGCAGCAGTAGCCCTCCCTGAAATCCTTACTTGCAGACATCCTGTCTTACACCAGTCCATAATATCAAAACAGTTTATTGTTGATGTTATTAACTTGTGAGAATTCTTCACCCAAAGTAAAAACTGTTACTCTTCTAGTTACTACTTTCTCTATGACTGTCTTATGAAAATAGAGGGTTCTCTGTTGTGTTTGAATGACCCCACTATCAGTTTATTTGAGGATAAACCTAAAGAATATGTCAGCAGTATAGCAACTATTATAATTTTATAAAACAAAATGAGCATTCATTTAGTCAAATGAGCATTAACAAGGTTATAGATGCATGGTAGTAAGCAAATGTACATTATTTATAGGAGAGGGGATTGATCACGTACCTGGATAAGGAGAGAATAACCAGATGTGAGATTTAAGGTTTCAAAAAAGAAAATGGGACAGATTATAAAAGACATAAAAGCGGCCTTTGGGATGGGCTACCCTGAAGGAAACCAACTAAAATATGTAGATAGTAAGTGAATAGTTAAATTGAGATGAAATTTAGATGAAGAAATGAGAATAGTCATAGATAGGAAGCACATAGAATGAAAGGGGATATTTAGTGATACACATTTCTCCATCATGAGGCTCTGAGATAAAACCCAGAAGAGCGAGGAGTCATACAAAAAAAGCTTGGATATTGGTACAACAGGTGGCCAGGCATCTGGGCTCCCATTGCCCTCTGTGCCTTCCTTCTTCTCAGACCCAACATTTAAATGTGACTATGTCTCCATCACACCATTTCCTCACAGCCCCACCCTCCACAGAGGAAGGAAAAGCTCCCATCTAAAGAGGCAGAAGGGGAAGAAACAGTAATAGAGGAAGTGTTCTGTATTTATAGAAGGCATAGGCAGGCAGATGAGTGAATGACTTCAGTACTCTCAGCTCTTCAAAATCCTTTTCAAATATTTCACATCTTCAGGCTGCTGCTGGAGTAAACTCTTTTTGTCATTATAACAGGGTTTTCATATTTGGTTTGTTTCCTCTAGGAAGAACCCTATGTTATGTATAGGAAATCTGATAAGCCTCTATATGGAAACGATCGATTTGAAGGATATTGCCTGGACCTGCTGAAAGAATTGTCAAACATCCTGGGTTTCATTTATGATGTTAAACTAGTTCCCGATGGCAAATATGGGGCCCAGAATGACAAAGGAGAGTGGAACGGGATGGTTAAAGAACTCATAGATCACGTAAGTTACAATATTTCTAATGTATCTGA